AGGTAAAGTATGTCTCTTTCCCTATTTCCTCTTCCTTCCTTAAAAACCCAGTTTACACTTCCTTTTCATTACAGCTCCCCACTCACAGGAATACACACCCTCACCCCATCTCTAACCTAGAGTTGTTACAAATAGTGACCTCCCCGCTCCAACCTGGTGTTTCTTCAGTGATCCCTCCTTCCTGTCCTGTTCTTGTCATTTTTATGTGTGCATATTTTATTGTGTTGCATGTTTAACTTTGGCTTTCATTATTTGAATGAGGTATTTTGTTTGGTTTTAATGGCTTTTAGATGTGCTTTTATTATATATGTTTTTAATCTATTAGCTGCCTTGGTGGCCCTGATGAGGGCCGAATTGAACTCAGTAGCTCGTGGGCTATCAAGGAATGGCTGCAGAAGGGGTGTAATATGCATGCTCTCCTTAGGTCCTGATAAACTTAAGTTGAAAGTATTTTCCCCCCCTGACTGCATTAACTTGTGTAATGTGGGGCCCAGTATAAGCCCTAGGATCCTAACCAGGTCATCTGGATCCCATCAAAAGTGGGAAGCAAGAGTTCCCTCAAGACTTCAGGCTTAGCAACATTAAGCTGCATAAGAATTGCTGCTAAAAACGCAATAATGGCTAAGAGAGAGGCTGTGGAGTCTAGCTCCTTTTCTTTTTCAGAGCCTTTTTTTCTGCTCATGTGTGTGGTTTAATAAAAATCAAACTGATTTGAAACGGCTGCTCTCCTGGCATAAAAATATTACACCACACACACTGTTGAGTATAAAGGAACCCTACATCCAGGCTGCCCTGACCTGGAGAGCCTAGGCTAGCCTGATCTTGTTGGATAGCTCTTGGAAGCTAAGCAGGGTCAGCCCTCGTAGGTATTTGGATGAGAGACCACCAAGGAAGTCCAGGGTTGTGAGGCAGAGTCACGCAATCACAAACCACCTGTTAATGTCTCCTGCCTTGAAAACCTGACAGGCTTTCCATAAGCTGGCTACAATTTGACGGCAAAAAGCGACATTTGCCCCGAGTTAGGTGAGGCGCTTGATTCCGGCGCGCAAGGAATACTCTGCTCTCACATTTCGGCTCTGCCGGCGCCTCCTGTTGAGCGGGACAGCCTCTTGGCTCTCCCCTGGCTCCTGGACGCCCCCCTCTGACCAGCCGCCAAGGCGACTAACGGGAAGGTTCTTCTCGGCTGCTGGGAGCGCGGAAAGGCAAATGCTCCTGGCGAGGCTGGGAAGCGGAGGGTCTGGCCGTTAAAGGTCTGCTGGGGGAGAATCAAAAGGGGTGCGGGGAAGCGCCCGCTTCGGGGGAAGTTGTCCAGTCACTTTCACGGAGGTGCAGCTCCCTCTCCTCAACCAGGCAGGGAGTCGCCATGGGCGCCAGGCAAACTAATATGTTTATGTTGTGGCACTCGTGGTGGGCTGCACCCAGCTTGGCCATGAGACTCAATGCGGCCGCATATTTCAAAGGCAGTTACTCCCGAGTCCCGAGTAGCTTAAAATGTAACAAGTTGGTAGCCGCGTCGGTCCCTAACAAATCCCAAACGATAACGTTTCTATTAAGACAACAGCGCGAACGTGGTCTTGCGCTATTTTGCTTGGCGCTAGTTCGACGGGACTTTTTTTTTGCGAAGAAACACTCTTCGGATCGGTGGGGTGTACGCGGCAGACTTCCGTCTCTGGGCCCACGTGGTCCGCAGACCGGCGCTGCTTCGAGAAATCGGCGGCATCTGCCTGACCAGACCGTGACCCGAGCGATGGG